TGGCAATAATTCATAACCTTAGAGTCAGCACTTTTATTCTTTAACTTAAAGCCTCAATTAGTTGAAATCGGTGGACCATTTTGATGAAATAATATTTCTGGTTAATCGGCCCTTTATAAAAAAAAAAAAGAAAAAAGCCAGTACTCTGTCAGCATCTTTCTAAACACTATAAGCCAACTGCTCCGCGTTAAGAGGCCTGGTTCCCTTCCATAAAACCAATATAGTGTTGATGATTACAGACCTTACAATGCCTCTGCCTTGTAATTCTGAATCTCGCTTCTCATTTTTCCGGGACCATGCATTCGTTCATTTATCAATCAATGTGATAAATATTTACCAAAAGCCCACTATGTGCCAAGTGGTCTTCCAGAGGCACAGAACAAAACAGGCAAAAATCACTTCTGTGGAGATTCGCTTTTAGTACAATGTTCTGTGTATCAAGAATGAAAGGCTGGGCTGACTTAAGTTTTGCTAGTACCTACCCTGGAACTTGATGTTTGATTAATCACTGAGGTCAGCTAGTCTGATGTTACCTCCTGAAAATATATATTTCTAATATATTTAAATATAGTTTCAGGGAGTTGAGTTCTGGCTAGTGAAGGTATTCTCCATTGTATCTCTCTTAATTACAGACAAGGAGAGAGAAAAACCGTGTATAATAGAATGAATGCTGAATCTCTAAAGTCTTTTAAATCTAGAACTGTTTTCACCCCCTCAGTCTAAGTTATCGCCTCTACTAGAAAAAAAAATTTTTTTTTTAAGTAAAACAACTCAATTTTTTTTTTCCACTGCTAAACAGAGGACAGAACATCATCACCAACCATCACAACCCTTCTGCAATCTTAGTCCTGTCAAGGAACATCCTGTAATTTCCTCCCTTCAGAATCAGAACTGAATCCAAGATCAGTGCAGAACCGGGTGCTAATAACAGTCCAGTCCTACTGATAACAGGCTGAGGTCTTCGCAAACCTCTCCAAAGAACAGTTTGATGTAACTTTCAAGTCACAAATGGTTCTGTGTCTCTAAGCAGGCGGGGTTTTTTTTGTTTTTTTTTTTTTGTTTTGTTTTGTTTTTTTCCAGAGTGCTGAACTCAGTTAGAAATCTGAAAACCAGAGAGGGCCAGTGAGGCTTGAAGGTACTCCAGAAAAGAGCAACTAAGATGGCTGAAAGCTTGGGGTGGGGGGTGCTCCTGGTGAAGAGATGCTAGAACTGAATGTATCCCCGCGATTGCTTGGGTAACAGAGGACTCCGAGGAATTCAAAGGCACATAGCAGTGAGGCACTGCAAGCCATCGACCTAAATGCTGAGAGAGCTAAACTTGCACTAATACTACAGGGAGTGCTTTACATGTCTCATCTTGTTTTTAAGCCTTTCAGTAACTCAGGAGGCAGATATTATCGCTATTATTCCCATTGCATGGTTGAGGAAAATGGAGGCTTATGTAACTTGCACAAGGCCACGCAGTTAATAATGGAACAATTGGGATGTAAGCCAAGCGGGCTCCAGAGCCCCAGACCTTAATCGCTACACCATACAGCCTGAAGAGGAGAAACGCCCAGCTGTCCGTAAGATGTAGATAAGTGAAGGCATGTAAACGCGCAAGAATCCAATACTCATCACTCCCAAGATTGTCCACAGAATAGAATGTCTTATTGAGATGAATGAGATTCAGGTCTGCCTGAAAGCTAAAAGCTAAATTAAAATGGCTTTGGGTGTCTCCTTGTTTCTGGAAATGATTTAAAAGATGGTTTTTACACATTTTGCCATCTGGAAAACACAGGTGACATAAAGAAAATTAACATCGAATTACATAACATATGTGATGTCCTTGGAATGTTAAATATCCAATTAGAGAGTGACCTTTTATCCATTAGGGAAAACTGGAGTACTTACAATTCAGGTATCTAGCATTATAATGTCAAGTAAGCGTTCATGTCTTGGTGGTTCCGTACAGGTGAAGGGGTGGGCAGAAAGCACGTAGAAAATGCCTGAACTATCTCTGCTCTGTCTGTCTGAGGGTGAAATTCCTAAATATGTTATATTTTGCTTTAAGGCCTTAGAGAAAAAACCTTAAAGAAATTGGCATGAATCTTTCAAGAAATCTAAGGTGGCAGAAAATGTGCTTGTGTTTCCTGTGAAAAAGTTAATTTGTATGTCGGGGACCTAGAAAATGGGGGCCACTTCAGTGGCCGAGCCCATGTCACAAATCTAAACCTAAGTCAGCCTGTACTTACGGAAAACACCTGTCAAGGAAATTGAGCATACGACAGTTACAGTCCTCCAATCCAGTTTTTGATAGCTTACCTTACCCTAGAAAATATGACCTGCTAGCTTTCCAAAGAAATTCCTGACCTCCTGGACACTTGCAAGAGACAGGCGTGTGCCAGTAAACAACTGAGGGGGAAGGGTTTTGATTTATTATTTGCAGATTCCCACGATACAAATACTCCCACCATGTTGGATTTCAAGCCAACAAGTTGAAAAGCCATCGAGCCCGTGCCAGAGGCTCCAGCAGATTATTGCTCCTAGGCCCTCAAGGCAAGCTCAGCCAACGTTCTTCTTGTCGTAGACTTTTGGATTTCACAAGCAAATATAAAGATTTTTGAAAATTAGAAGAAGAGTAACCCCAAATCTCTTCCTTCCCTTCTCCCTCTCTCCCTCCTTCCTTTGCAAGTGCTAAAAAAAAAAAAAAAAAAAGACAATCTATAATCACCATCATGTCTTTAAAAAAAGGACATTTTAACAACAAAAAGTGAAAACCACATAATTTTAGAATAAAGAACGGCCCTTTAAATTTAAGGAATCTAGGTCAAGAAAATTTTATTACCTTCTTTTTCTAATCTTGTTATTATATACCTGTGGAATTTTGGTAAATTCATTAGGATGTGTTTTGGCTACAAGTGATGAAGAACATGGAAGTGGCTTAAATAATACTTCAGGTCATTTCCTTACATATGAAGAGGTCTAGAGGTTCGTGGTTGCCAACAATCGTTAGTTGTCCTGTGATGCTATCAGATACCTCCCTTACCCCAGCTCTCTTTTCCATTGTCTTTAGCCTATTTACCTTTTTCTCAAGAGTGTAGCTTCATGGTCATTAGATGGCTGCTGTACTTCCAAGAAGATGAAAGGTAAAGGGCATAAGGCCTCGCTGTAAGTTGAATGTTGTCCCCCCAAAAGTTATGATGAAGTCCTAACCCCAGGTACCTGTAAACGTGACCATATTTGGAAACAGTCTTGGCCAATGTAATTAGTTAAGATGAAGTCATGCTGAATTAAGATGGGCTCTAATCCAGTAGCTGGTATCCTTATAAGAGAAAACAGACAGATACCAAGAGTATCTCATGGCATGAGAATACACAGAGAAGTCACAAAGGGACACCTGAAGACAGAGGCAGAAATTGGAGAGATAAAGTGTAAGCCAAGAACATCAGGACTGCTGGCAGCCATTAGGGCTGAAGAAAAGGCAAAGTATTCTTCCTCAGAGCCTTCGGAGGGAGCAATACTTGAGGTCAGATATATAACCTTCAGATCTGTGAGGAAATAATTTATGTTGTTTTAGGCCCAGTTTGTGGTATTTTGTTATAGCAGTCCTAGGAAACCAACACAAGCCTCTTCATCACACAGCCTTGTCTTGGGAAGTCTCCAGATTACTCTTTATAGCCTGTTGGTGAGAACTGGGTCAGATACCCAAACTTAGAAGCATCAACGGCCCAAGGGAAGGAGATTTCCATAACTGGTTTAGATCTATACTGATTCATTCTTGGGCCTGGGGTAGGGTCTGTTCTCCCTGTGATCAAGGGATCTCTCTGCACCACATGAACACATTGGAAGAAAGGGAAATGGCCTTGAGGAAGCAATAGGCAATGACTGTCGTATGCGAAGATGGGTCGTTTTGCCACTTTGCATGTTAGACATGCTGCCCTATTTACCAGCGTTTGAGATTCACCCCCAAACAGATCTTTACATTCTCCAGAATCACTCAGAAATTTAGGTTAAGGATCAAGGTAGGTAGTTCCAGGGTAAGAAGTTAGAAAGGTGAGGGTATCTGAGAGGTAGTGTCCACAGGGTGAAACCATGGGATCTCATCTAAAACTAAGAGAGAAATTATGGAAGCAGCCCCAGTACCCATCGATAGATGAATGGATAAAGAAGATGTGGAATATCTTTAGCCATGATAGAATATTATTTAGGCATCAAAAAGAATAAAATCTTGCCATTTGCAATGACATGGATGGAGCTAGAGAGAATAAGTCAGTCAGAAGAAGACAAAAACCATATGATCTCACTCATATGTGGAATTTAAGAAACAAAACAAATAAGCATAGGGGGAGAAAAGAGACAGAGAGGCAAGGCAAAAAATAGACTCTTAACTACAGAGAACAAACTGACAGTTACCAGAAAGGAAGCGGGTGCAGGGATGGGTGAAATAGGTGAGGGGGATGAAGGAGTGCACTTGTGATGAGCACAGGGTGAGGTATGGAATCGTTGAATCCCTATATTGTGCGCCTGAAACTAATATAACACTGTATGTTAACTCACCTGGAATTGAAATTAAAAACTTAATTTAAAAAAAGTTTTACTTGGGGTGCCTGGGTGTCTCAGTTGGTTAAGCGTCCAACTCTTATTTATTTATTTATTTTTGAGAGAGCGGGGAAGGACAGAGAGTGAGTCAGGGAGGGGCAGAGAGAGAGGGAGACACAGAATCTGAGGCAGGCTCCACGCTCTGAGCTGTTAGCACAGAGCCTGACACGGGGCTTGACCCCACGCAAGGTGAGATCATGAACCAAGTTGAAGTTGGATGCCTAACCAACTGAGCCATCAGACGCCCCAAGCATCCGACTCTTTATTTTGGCTGAGGTCACGGTCTCACAGTTCATGAGATCGAGCCCCACATGGGGCTCTGCACTGACAGTGCGGAGCCTGCTTTCGATTCTGTCTCTTCCTCTCTCTCTCTCTCTCTCTCTCCCTGCCCCTTCCCCGCTCATGTTCACTCTCATTGCTCTCTCTCTCAAACAAATAAACATTTTAAAAAGTTTTACTTAGACAGCTAATAATAACTGAATTAGGTAACAAACCTTTGCAAGAATACTTACTAAAATGGAGGTGGGGTATATCAAACTCCACATTCAGTATGACCTAGCATTTCTTAGTTAAAAAAAAAATGGGAAGAAAACAGCAAAATGTTAATAATGATTATCCCTGGGGAGTGAGATTTTTTTTATATTGTTGTAATTTTCTGTTATATTTTTCTGTATTTTTAAACTTTTCTACAGTGAGCATGGATAATAATGATATTTAACATTTTCAAATGAACATATGCTAAGCATTGTACTTGAATTTTTTTTTCATTTCATCTTCCAATTCTTTGCAGTGGGCACTATTGTTATCCCCATTGTACAGATGAGAAAACTGAAGTATGGAGCCATCAGTTAAATAAAAAAAAAAAAAAAAAAAGGAGAGAAAACCAAGAGAGAGATGGTAAATGAGAGAAAATGAAGTGTCAGGAAACTGGAAATCCAAGGAAGGTGAAATGACCTGGTGCAGATGAAAACCCCCCATCCTTACTCCAAGGGAATTACTACCCTCGTTTAACTATAGCAGCAACATATAGTAAGGCATGCGTCTTTAATCTTCACTCAGTAACAGGCTTAAACAGTTAAACCCGGCACCAAGTGATAAAAGCATCAGTGTTGTTAAACGTTTTTTTTTTTTTCAGAGCTAAAACAGAGACTAAATGTGCTCATGAATTTAGCTCTAAGGACCAGAGGTGATAGAGTAGCTGTCCAAGCATTCCATCCAGTAGGCAACTCCCAGATCTACACATTCTGGAATTCCTCTCAAACATTAAATCCATTGAGTGCATATCTGGGAACTATAGACATTGTCTGGAGGCCACGTCTTGTAGAGGCTGTTACACTTCCTTGGGGCCCCTGGGTGGCTTGGTCGGTTAAGCGTCCAACTTCGGCTCAGGTCATGATCTCGCGGTCCGTGAATTCGAGCCCCATGTAGGGCTCTGTGCTGACAGCTCGGAGCCTGGACCCTGCTTCGGATTCTGTGTGTCTCTCTCTCTCTGCCCCTCCCCTACTCATGCTCTGTCTTTCTCTCTCTCTCAAAAACACATAAACAATAAAAAATTTAAATAAAAAAAAAGATAATTACACTTCCACTGGGATCTTCCGATGTGTGCCAGCCAAGCCCCATTCTGCCACATCTACTCCCTGGACCTGGCCTTTACTCCAACCGCTCCAAAGATAGGGTTCCAAGAGGCCAACTGATCTATCTGTCTTTTCCCGACCACACCAGTTCTTTGACCATGGCTGCTTTATTCCCACAGTTTGCTCTGCCTGGGAGCACCTCCTCCTTCTTGGTGACCCCTCTGTTCCCCAGACATACATGTGTCGTAGCACTAAGGCAGAGTATGGCGTTGTTACGTGTCTGTCTCACCTTACTGAAGACTTTGGAGGCAGTCGCCATGCCTCAGTTATCTTTGTATTCCCAGCATCTAACACAGTTGACGGTCTATGTGAGATCATGGACCAAGATGGATGGATGGATGGATGGACGGATGGATAAGTAATTAAAGGTTAATCCCAAGGGAAGCAGATCATGTTGTAAATTCCTCAGCTGGGTTCAGTGATGTTCCCACACAGAAGCCTTAAGTCACAAGAATCCAACAAGGGTGTTGGCCACAGGTCTTCCCAGTCTGTGGAAAAGTAAGAGATACACACAGTGAGCATTGGGCAAAAGTCCTTTGAGGTAGTCTGATTTATTTTTACCAAATTCAATGCTCAGTTGTGGCGATCTGTTTTTTAAATCTTCTTTTTAATGTTTACTTTTTTAATTTTTTTCATGTTTTATTTATTTTTGAGACAGAGAGAGACAGAGCATGAGCAGGGGAGGGTCAGAGAGAGGGAGAGACAGAATCTGAAGCAGGCTCCAGGCTCTGAGCTGTCAGCACAGAGCCGGATGCAGGGCTCAAACTCACGGACCGCGAGATCATGACCTGAGCCGAAGTCGGACGCTCAACCGACTGAGCCACCCGGGCGCCCCAATGTGGTGGTCTGTTTTTAATGTGTAAATTCTGCTTTCCTAAGACATTGAGAGGGACCTGCACAATTACTTACCTCGTTTCAAGTCCAAACCTCTCCGAGTTCAGGACTTCCTTTTGTGAAATGTGCAGCTGAGCAGTTAGCGGTCAGAACTGAGAGCGGCAGAGCCCTGCAGATGTGAACGTGAAATGGAAGCTTTCATCATCCAAAGGGAGATGTGAGACGTCAGCTGTAGCCGTCGGCCACACGGCGGTGGCGGGGCGGGCAGGGGGCGAAGGGAGTTTGGACGAAAGTGAAAAGCTCAGGGGCTGTCAGAAACACACTCATTTTACATGGTCTCCCTAAAAACAGGCCTGTTGCTGGCAAATGAAATGTTTCCAGCCCCAGTTAAACAATTGCTGGGTTTAGCTGCTAGACTCATGTAGCTTCTTCCTGGGAAATAGCTCTGCATTGCATTTTGCCCTGTTTTCCTTTCTTCCATTTATTAGGTCACTGTGAACTTTCTCTCCATGTTTCCTCACAGTACCAGAGTCTACGGGGGGGGGGGGGGGGGGAGGGAGTGCCTTCACCTGTCTTGAGACCTCCCACTGTTCCTCATGATTGACCTCACCGAGCTACTTTTTTTTTAATTTCCTTATACCTTATATTCCGATCGTTTTTATCTTCTCTTTTTTCTTCCATCCTTTGTTTCCTACCTGAATCTGGAAGTGACTTTACGAAGTGATCTAAGCAGAACACATGCATCGTTTTCAGACCTTGAGAGGATCCACACTACTTCATGGGATGCCTTTGTGTGAACTGGAAGAAGGCATTCCTTCTGGGCCGATGCAGCCCCACAGTAAGGTACAGGTTTAGTGAGCAGAGAAGCAGACTGATTTCAGGACCAACTCTATTGTGCCATGAACAACCTGCCCAACTGAACAGGTGCAGTCCTGTTCAGAAATGAACAGTCCGTAATCTTCCTTAAATTGTTATTGTGACCATTCTTCTCATAACAAAGATATTCTTCTTTAAAGTCCTTTTAATGGATGAGTGACCTCGAACACACATTTATTTCTTCAATCTTTGGTAGTTTACAGGTCCTCGAGTGGTGTTGAGGCTACACAGTGGCTTTCTGCTGCCCTAGCATCAGGTGCAAACACCATGGACTTAGCCATCCCTTTCTAGCGCTGTATCGCCATCGCACATATTGTCTTCATTTCAGCAAACAACTGATGAGCAGGGACGCTGAGTCAGACTCTAAAAGCCAGCCATCTTTTGTTTCTCTCCAGCCTGGCATTTTCCCTTCAACTAACCTCATGACGAAATGGGAGTCCTTGAAATTTCCAAACAGAAAGTTCCCCGAGATGTTTGGCAAGCCCTCCGCATAACTCTCTGCCGCTCCAGGCCTGAGAGCCACAGAAGAGAGCTCTTGGGTTGGCTCCTCCAGTCCCAGCTGGCACTTGTCTCAGCCGTTCCCCACCCACATACCCACTTCAACACAATGTGCTCAGAAAGGTGCTTGAAGTGCACAGACTGGTTCAATGTCATTTGCAGGAATCTCCGAAACTCCACACAGAAACACAATGACAAGACCTCAGGCACACAGTATTTTGTTTCAGAACAATATTGTCATACGCATGAGTTCGTGTAATCTTGAGTTGGACTTCTCGCCCAACAAGCAGAAACGCCGAAACTCAGATTATCGAAAGCTGTCTATCCCAGCCTGTCCTTTTCTGTGGTTCAGGTTGGTTCATGAGAAGGCACGAGCGAGAGCCCTGCTCCATGGGGTCCCATTCTCTGGGTCTCAGTCTCCAAAATGGGTGCAGATGTCCCCCCAGTTCCATTTGTTCTGACCCACTTCTTCCTCGCCCTGAACCCCGAGCCTGTGGCCTCGACACCTTCCCTCTGGCTCCTTTTCTTCCTTCCAGCTCCCTGCAGGCTAAGGGTGATAGGCTTTCTCTCAATGCCCTTCAACTTCTTCAACTAGAAACCTTTAGGTCTCCACCAGTTTCCAAGGCAAATCTTTATGAGCCGCCACCTAAATCCTGAGGCTGGCATGCAGGATTCATTCACACAGAACCTTTATCTCTTTGAAACAACAGTTACATTAACTGATGCCTATTCCTGTCTGTATGATAGCCACGGCATTCTGTGCTTTATGCGTATTCTCCCATCTCATTCTTACAACAAACACGTAAGGGGGCTACGAAGAGTATGCCCATTTACAAATGAGGAAGCTGAGGCTGAATTTAAGCCGCTTTCCCAAAAGGACCTAGCTGGCTTCACAGCCATGTGCTGTCTGTGTTCAGACTCGCTTTACCTCCTTATCTTCTGATAAAAGTCTGCTGGAAATCCCCAGGTTTCTCCTTAATGCCATACCCCAGCATTACCATTCAACGATCTACCAGATCTCAGGGGGGCGCCTTCCCCAAACCTTCAGCCTGCGCTTCCCCAGACAAACTAGCATGTTCACAGCCCAAGGCATCTACCTTACTCTCATCCTAGGCAACGTGGAGGAAGCCACATTTTCATTACAACCCAGAAGAAGAAATACTCACCCCCAGGCCTGCAGCTCTCCACCAACGACGTGGAAATATTCGGGGCCCCTGGATGGCTCAGTTGGTTAGGCGTCTGACTTCGGCTCAGGTCATGATCTCACAGTTTGTGGGTTCGAGCCCCACGTCAGGCTCTGCACTGACAGCTCAGAGCTTGGAACCTGCTATGGATTCTGTGTCTTCCTCTCTCTCTGCCCCTCCCCTGCTTGTGCTCTGTCTCTCTCGCTTTTAAAAATAAAGAAACATTTAAAAAAAAAAAAAAGACGTGAAAATATTCATCATCTAGTCTTTGCCCTAAGGCAGAAGTTTTCAGCCCTGGATGCACATTAGAATCACAGGAAGCTTTCCTACAGCATGGATCCTTGGGTTCCCAGGCCCAGGGCAACTGATGCAGGATCTCTGGGGGTGGGGCCTGGGTGCAGGTGGATTTTTCATTTGTTTGTTTTTACTACCACGTGATTCTAATGAGAACCCTACATGCCCTTCTCTTTGTGATCCATATTCATTACATTTTCCTTTTTTAAAGTTTATTTATTTTGACAGAGAGACAAAGTGTGAGTCAGAGAGGGGCAGAGAGAGAGAGAGAGAGAGAGAGAGAGGGTATCCCAAGAAGGCTCAGCACTGTCAGTGCAGAGCCTGAGGTGGGGCTCAAACCCACAAACCGTGAGATTGTGACCTGAGCCAAAGTCAGACACTTAACAAACTGAGCCACCCAGGCGCCCCTCATTACCATTTTCTACAGCTGACTCAGAACCATCAGTTGATATATGGGGCACCTAGCACTTGCCAAAGAGGTGACAGTTCGCTCTCCATATCTCCTCATTAGCTCCTGACCAATAGAACATCCATTCGCTCTGTCTCCTCCTGTGAATATATCCAATCTATCTAATATCATTGTGGAATGTCTATCCATTGTTATAGAACTACTGTTTTCTCATTGCATATGGATTTGCTTTACTTAAACAAACTGATAACTATCTCAAAGATGTAGACTATGCTTTATAATCTTTGCTTCTTTCCACAGGGCCTGCAAATAGCTTCGAAACCACAATAGACAGTAAATGAATGATGATGATAAGAAAACCTATTCTTTTTGCTTTCATTTCCCTTTGATATGAAAGGCAATTAAATAGGCTACAGGGAACAGGGTGTTTAGAGGCTGAAATAAGAGAAATATGTAGCCTGGACAAAACCAGAAGATGTCCAGGAAGCAGATACAGATAAAGGCTCAGAGAGGTTAAGTAATTGGCTCAACTGTGCACAGAAAGTAAAAAGTGGGGTCCGTTTTGCAACCAGGCATTAGACTGTCCCTATTCTGTGTTGGCATCACCATCCATCCAGTTGTCCAAACCACTTCGGAAACCCGTGTTAAGTTAACCGGACAAGGAGGCCATTAGATTGAAATAGCTTTAATGCCATGGCAACCTGTGTAAGCAAACTAAAATCTAAGCCCGTAAATGCCTCAAGATTACAAAGCTGAAACCTAAGGGTAACCAATCACAACCGGCCAACTAGGCTTTAAGCTAGAGCCAATCAATGACTTCCTTGCTTTACTTTCACCTTTTCTCTACAAAGAAAGTCTCTCTGGGAGCTCCTGTTGGTGGAATTCTCCTGACCACTTCTGACTTGGTGCTACCCCATCAGAACTGGTTTTTTGCTCAAATAAACTCTGAACAATTTTAATATGTCTCAGTTTATCTTCTAACACTGGGAACCATTCTCTACAATACTTCTCTGGCCATGACTCTTGTACCCTCCTCCAATTCCGCTCGCCATTTGGTTCATCAGTTTGCCCCCACCCCTCTCGATCACCACCCTAATTCAGATTACTGCCTTCGCACGCCCAGATTACCCCGGTAGCCAGAGTCGAAGATTTGGAATATGGGCTGACCTCCAAAACAAAAAGATTAAACATTGGGAATGACTTTTATAAACTGTGAGCATTTCTTCTAATCTCTTTTAGAGACACAGACCTACTTCCGTACATGTAGTCCTGAATGGCTTAAATCATGGTCCACTGGGAAGTTACAATTGTCTTTTCACCCACTGACATAAATTTTGGTGTGAGGGTCAGCGCACCTGCTCTAGACCTATGAATCCCATTGAGGCAACCAGATAGTCTCCGAGATTCTAGTCTTGTTCGCTGATTGCATTTCACCAGTGTATTTCATTGTCCGCCATTTAGGACCTAACTGTGATGACTGCATTTGGTGTCTTGAGTTGTGGTTGCTTTTAACCCATTTCATTCCTCGGTTTCTCCGTGGCTGGGGCCTTGTGTTGCTCTTGACCTCGCTAACCTGAATTCCCGGGTTTCCTGCCTACCTATCACTGAATAAATATCCCATGCCGTGATACTGAAGTGGTTTTTTTTTGCTGTACTTTGCCACCTGTAGGGGCATTTGGTCAGGCTGCCTTAAGACCTCTCTGCACCACTAACTGCCTGCCCTTTGCTGCCAGCGTCCTTCAGATAACTTTCTCTATTGCCCCTCAAACAGATCTGCCTCCCCGCTGCCTTCCTCATCTCAGAGGTGGGTCTTCTTACAAGCGTGGGAACTAGTTTAGACCCATAAGTGTCCCTTTGATATCTACTTATTGCAAACACAAGAGAAACTTCTTCAGGGCAAAGGGAGCTGGTCATTTTTGGCAGAGTGCTCAGGCTGTTTCAACAATGAAGCTTCTCTGAATATTACGGTCTCCTGCTCTTCTGGGAACCATGGGAACAAAGTACTCTAGTTAATATTCTCAGCTGACCTGCCAAGAAGGAAGGTCACACCGGTAGGAGTTCCATATACTATTTAAAGAACAGACGTTCCTTAGATGGGAGAACAGCGATATATGGCCAGGATTTTAATGAGGCAGGGAAAGGCGGGATGTGGCAAAATGAGATAGCGAATGAAAATTCCCTTCGACCTTCACGCTGGCCATTTATTCTGTTTTGTGATTCCATTTAAACTTATTGTCTTCAGGGGCGCCTGGGTGGCGCAGTCGGTTAAG